CTGAACTTCTTGGGGGAGCTTGTGGAGCTGGACAGAACACGAGGAAAGCAGAATAAATGGAGAGCCTGGGGAGTACATCTCCACACAGAGATAATGTTACTTTATCATAATCTCAGCCCTGGTTCTCTAGAATCCGTGATGTACAGCTGTGTCTTACAGGGAGGAAAGTTTTGGAAATTGTAACTGACCTCAGTGAAGCAATAGGTCTATATGGAAGTCACAGTGTGAGGTACAGAGAAGAGTCTATAATGAGGATTTTCAGTGTGAACAGTTGTTAGGAGCTCCTGGACTGGTGCTGAGACAACACAAGTCTAAGGTGCAGCAGATATTAAGTGCTGCTATGGCCTGCTTGCTGTGAGAGCTGTGTAAATCAGCTGGATGGTTTATCCAGAAGCCTTAGCCAGGACTTGGGCTCCCTAGTCCGGTTTTGTGTTCTATTCTATTCACTGGCTGCACAAAACTCAAACACTCTGTAATTTACTAAAGAGGCTGCTATTAAAAAGTATAGGAGCTCATATTTTTGAAAGCTTTGTACTGTAATGTAGCTTAAAATACTGAAAGAGTTCATATGCAGTGGCTGTGCGGGTGAGACGTCAGGCTGAAAAGTTTGGATGCCGTACATAGCTGTTCTAGGGAGCTGTGGGCCTCCTTCTGCTTAGTCATTTCTGTTGATGCTGTTTTGCTCTGGGATTGGTGAAGCCTCTTGGCTTATATAAAAGCAGTTTCAGTGAGTGTGGGAACATCAGTAGCTTGATGTAAACTAAACACTGAAACTGGAAGTGCAGCCCATGGTACTGCGTTGGCTCAAGTTTAAGGCAATGGGAACTAAATTCTGCTTCAGTAAGAGCTAAAGGGACAGGCAGTGTGTTGTGTGGCAGATCATGCAGAAAGGGAGCCATAGGGCTTTAAAATCTGTTCTGGATTTAAACACTCTGTTGGATTACGGGCCTTTAGGCTTCCTCACCTCCCAAATCAGGTATTGGATTTAATCCCAGGTTCAAGACTGGGATTAAAGGAACTGAATGTCTAATTTATAAGCAGACACTGGATTCTGTTCCAAGTATGTTGCTTCTTGGCAGTTGTCCAGGTGTGTGCTGCTTTGGCTGTCAGCTGCTGCTTGGTCTGCAAAGGGCTCTACCTGAAACTGCTTCTAGACTGGGTGCGAGTATGTTTTGGACTTTTGTTCTCTTTTGCTTTGTAGAAAAATGCCTATTATATTAAATAATCGGGAATTCAAAAAATACTGTCAGAAATGCTAAACTACAGACTGTAATATATAGTAGTTGCAAGTAAATGGCATTTAATTAGGCACGGACATGATGGAAATATGGTAATGTACTCATTTATGTTTAAAAAGTACAGCATATCTTTAGCTGAACAAGAAATCTCAAAGTAAAGCTGTTGGAAAAATAACGTAGAAGGATCCAATTCTTCATAGGTGTCTGGCTTCTCTGCTTTTCCAGGACTTCTAGGGCAGTTCTTCAGCAGGGCTTTGTAGAGGGCCTGCAGTGAGCTTGTTCCCCTCTCCCTGCCTGGACAAGGGAGCTGAATCCTTTGCTTTACCCCCATGTTTCTGTAGGGAAGCTGCTGTCCAGGCTGCAAGCAGTTAATGCTGTGGCTGGTGGGGACTGGCAGGCACAGGGAGCAGGTGTCTGTCCCCTGCCCTGGGTGCAGTGTCAGTGTCACTTGCTCGGTGGGCAGTGACACCGGCCTGGCAGCAGCCCTGTGTCACTGAGCCCCGTGTGTGTGGTCCTTTTGTGCCTGCCTGCATTGCTGTTCCTTTGGGGTTTAGGTCCATGGATTTTGCTACTCTGTGAGGCTCAGCTAGTGAAGGGAGAGGGAAGAGGCAGGTGGTACTACTGGTTCACTTCTCTGGTACACAACACTCACTATATCCAGGGGAAAAAACAAAGCCAAACAAACCCTGGGCCCTTGTTTGCAGGTTTTAATGAGTAGCAGCTACTGGCTGTCCATGGTAAAGCAGCCAAGGATGATGCTTTTCATGTCTCAGTGCAGAACTTTCCTGAGAATTCCTTTTTTGTCTGCCTGCCTGCCAGCCATGTTTGTTTAGTTTAACATAAATAATCTGGATGGAAAAGCTCATTTTTAAATTGCTGTTGGTAATTCTGCATACCTCTCGTGGAGAAGGTGTATGAACTTATATTAATTGTTTTTCCGAGAGTGTTTCTGCAATCAGCAGCTGTTTGAGCTGTGCTTCAATACTGCTGTCATGGAAGGAAAATAACCTTTTCACAAGCTGAGACTGATGGCACCTCCTGTAAAAGAAGTGATATGCTCATTTGCTTTATGGGCAACATCCACTAAGCAGTCTTCTTTAACGGCTTTAACTGAAGAATTTGTTAATGATTGCCCCTTTCATACAGTTTGCAGATGTTCTGCATTAAAGGAGTTGGCATCCAGGAATCTTACTCCTTCTCCCAAGTTCTCTTGCAATATAGTGCTACATGGTCCTAGGTGAGAGTCAGTGTAAGAGCTGTCTCTCTTTGGGAATAAATACACAAAAAATGTTTTGAACTACTTAGGGACAAAGTTGTTTGAGGCTGAGACAGATGTCGAAAGAAATTGAAACAGCACACATTAAGAAATGGAGAAGAAAATGTGTATATTGGCTTTGGAAATAATGTGGCATATTTAAATAGAGAGAAACATTTTGAAGTTTTTCAGTCTTAATTTCTGGCAGTCTTTAAAGTCTTATCAGTGAGCAGTGATAACTTGCAAACAATAAAGAAGCTAAATGTGAGCAGTTTGAGTTACAGCAGTTCATACATAACTCTGCACAAATCCTTTTTTCTCTGTGGAAATGCAGAAATGATGGGACTTGTGTTTCACAGGATTAAATTCAAGTTTGAAAGTCTTAGGTGAGATAGTAGAACCTGTTATTTGAATTCTGACTTCTGTAGCTACTACAGTGGGTATTCTGTATTACAGTATTAATAATATCTGAAAGGATGATGTAAATGTCCTGAGCATAGATGGCTTTTTTCCCAAGCAATAGGCCACTTTTAAAATTAGATCTTTCCTGAAAAGGCAGGTTATATTCAACTGCTGAGGTGGTGGAACTTTTAATAGACCATGCTGAAGAAATGTTTGTATTAAGGAGGTAGTAAGAGACTGATGCAACTCTTTTAATGTGAGATGCTCACCTAGACTATCTGCCTTTTCAGCTAAGATTAAATACTTAAGCTTGTGCAGCTGCTTCCACAAAGTTTTATAGATGCCAGAGTCTGAAAACTTATTTGCTTAGAGGAGGCATGGCCATGCTGTAGCTTTTGGGTTTGAGGTTTGCATCTTGGTTAGGGAGCCTGTGATGTTGCCTTTTCTTACAGGCCTTGTCTGGAAAAAACATGATTGGGCTCAGTACCCAAATCTTTGTCTTGCACCTTGGGGGCTGGGTGGCTGACCTTACCTCCTGATTACACCCTTCTGAGTAGCTCCTGGGAAAACCCATTTCAATATGTTCCTTAGGGTTTTAGAATTGAGTCATCTTTGTGGATAAGTTTGACTAAATTATAATGTAAGGACTAAAGTTGATGTTCCTGCTGTCTCCCTCTTCAGGGCCTTGGTGTCCTTCGCATGAGCTGAGCACTTTGTTTTCCCCGTGTGGACTTAGACTCCTCTGTGTAGGACTTGAATTTATTCTTCTTGCCTTTTTCAGCCACACTTGAAATAGTTCAGAACTTAGCTGGCCACCAGTGAGTGCAATCTTATGGGCAAATCGGTTTGGACTTAATGGCAGCTTTTTGTCCAGAACGGTACAAGGTTCTCACTTGAAGTTCCTCTGTATGTGCCTGAGGGCATTATAGGGCCCCCTGAACTTAAGTCTTATGGCTTTTAGTTTTACAAAATGGGAATATGTAGACTGTGCTGTGGAGCAGAATAAGGAGGACTGCATAGAGTCTGACAGGTTATAAAATTAGTATGGTTGGTGGTTTTTGCGTGTTTTTTTGGGTTTTTTTTTCCCACAATTTCTTAATTTCATCTGGAAGTTACTGACCAGCTGAAGGAATAACTTCCCCCTTCCTGAGTACCCAATACCTGTATGTACTATTGGAAATGCTGGATGAAGAACTTGGTATAAATATGGCATTTAATGTAATTTCTGACTTGAAGCTGTCAGTTAATAGATGTTCTCACCTTCCTACCCCCATACCCCCACCACTGGATTATAGGCAAAACTTACTTGAAGTGTTTAATTCCAGATCTTACAGGTGTTTTTTTTTTTTTTTTTTTGTTTTTTTTTTTTTTTCCTGGAGCAGGCTGAAAACACAAGTTCAGTGGAGTTTAGACCTAGCTGTGACTTACTTGTGTGTAGCTATTTCCAGAGAAGCCTCTGTCTGGCAGAAACTGTATGAAGTAGCTTATACACTTAGAATGCTCTATGGCTTGTCACTGATGGAAAAAACTGTGAAGCAAAAAGAAGAAATAAAAACACAGCTCCATATCTGAACAGCATAGCAGCTTATCTTCTGTGTTCTTTTCTACTAGCTCAAAATATAGTAAATCATTATCTCCAAAATTCACTGGCACAGTTCTCAAATGCTTTGAGTCTGAAAGAAAAATCATTTAAACCAAGTAGAATGTTGCTTTTAAATAAAAACGTAATGTGACTTTGGTCTTCTGTTAACATTTTCTAGAGTTAAAGACAGACTTCAGTGAAGCTGGCTCCTTGGAGCTCTTGTAAAGCTCTTGTATTACTAGCCTGTTTCCTGACTTAAACACTGATTGGTATCTAGTTTAGGAGACTATGTCCCATAGTTGTGCGTTGTTCTGGCCCTTCTGCTCATATTACACTCAGAGTTTTAGGGTCAGACACGGTCCCACCTCTGGCAGAAGTGTTTGTGGTGGGGGAGCTGAGGGCACTCACTCAGGCCATGAGAAAGCGTCATGGGGTTTTTTGGTCATGTGTGGACACAGGAGCAAAACCAGCAAATGTGTATTACAGACACCTAAAGTTCTCTTAAATTCTTTTTCCTACACAGAGCTCAACAAAAATCCAGTGGAAGGCTTTTCAGCGGGCTTAATAGATGACAATGATCTTTATCGATGGGAAGTCCTTATTATTGGTCCTCCAGATACACTATAGTAAGTACTGATACTTCTACAGAAACTTGAATGAACTCGGATTTACTAGTTCTAGTTTGCTCCTAGTGAATAGAAGCTAACCAAAACCTTGTGCTAAATCAGGTAATGGTAGTCCCTTGCTAGCAGAATACCTGTAAATAGCTGGATTTGCTGTGTAGAAGTTCTAAACTGATTTGCTCCCCTGGGAAAAAGCAACACTGATCTCTTTGTACTTTATGGAAAAGAAAGACAATAGGTGCACTTAGAGGCAGCTTCTGTTTTCTTTCACATGTAAGTAAGGCAGATAAAATCCTGCTGTTGCTGCTGGGGGGGCTGTTGTTCAGCTGATGTTAAACCATTACAAATTCATATGCGTGATGGTAGTAAAATACTCAATTCAAGTGAGATGTAGTTGGAGGAAACCATAGTAGTCCACAGAATTAGCTTCAAACCCTGTCAGGTTGAGATGGGAGAACTTCCAGGTGTGACCTGAAGTACTTTGGGATGATCATCTACTCCAGTTTCTGGGAAAAGGTTCTCTGCCCAGGAGAGGTCAGTTTAAAGTGTACTCCTGAAGATGACCTCTGTTCTCTTCATTAAGCTGTTGCAGTGGTAAACTACTGATACAAAAAGCCTTGTGACATTTACTTGGGCTCAGTTTTGGTTGCAGCATGAAGTCTGTCAGCAGACTTCAAATAGGTGTTTAAACTCAGTAATCAAATTGCTTGGCTTTTCCTCAACCTCACTGCACTGTGGTTCTCATGTCTTACATGAGATGCTTTCTCCAACTTCTTTTGACCTTTTCTGAACAGTCCTGTGGTTCTGTTACATTCTCTTGGCTATTTTATAAATACTCTCAATAAAGAAATGCTGCTTCTAATTGATTGTCATCTTAGGTGTTAAAAGTTGCAATAGTGGTTTTTTAATTCCACTTTTATTGGGTCCTGAACTTTTTTGAGGCTTTTAGGTAAGAAATTCTCTTCTATTCCAGTCCTTGGTTGCTGTTTTTCAGGGTTGTATTACACTGCACCCTTCTTCCCTGGGCTGTTTGATAAGGATGGTCATATATAATAGTTTAACTTAATTAATTAACTTAATTTTCAAACATCCATCTCATTCCTGATCCCACTTCATTTATTCTTAGTGCATTACTCTACTGACAGAAACTCTTCTATCAGGAATATTGCTAAAAATGGCATTGATTTCCCTTTATTGACAGCTGTATTTCATTAACTGATATCTAATGTATATCCACTTTAAAACCTGTATTTATATGCAGTTGATATGGGGCAACCAGGGATGCCCTAGAGCCTAGTAGCTTTGGAATCTACTTCTTTTAAAAAAAGAAAGGACTTTTTCAGTTTGAAAGAAAGGGTTTGACTGGTTTGCAGCTATCAACAAATGCGATCTAGCTCTCCTTTGTCTTGACATTATGGGTGTTAAAATAGTGTTTCTGGAATTCTTATCTCTGTTGGGATGAAGAATTCTTTGGAAACTGCCTGCTGTTTTTAAAACTTGTGAAAAATGAATGCTGTGGGTTCAGATCCTCTCAGCTGCTTCAAAGAGCCAAGTTACTTAAAGGCAGTCCTTTTTGGGGTTGTTATTTTGTTTGTTTCTTTGGGTTGGTTTTGCTTTTGTTTGTTTTTTTTTTTTTTTGAGACACTTGCTGGAACTGCACGCCTTTGGTAAATGGTGGTAAAACATGTTATTTTTCGCAGTAGCCAGTGCACTTTAGTAACTCCTACTCTTACAAATACAGGAAAAAAATTGCACTGAACAGTTTTCTTCACCAGTTGTTTTGTCTGTGTGCCTGCTGAGGAGTTGCTTGTCACAGTGTGCATCTCATGCAGTCTTCTTTGGAGGTTTATATTCCACTTTGTTCTGCCTTTCCAAATTTTGTTACAGCCTTCAGTTAGAAGAAATGACAGTAATAGGACAAATATTATTGACATTAGCAAAGTATTCCATCTGTAAACCTTTCCATCTAATACAGGCCTTCACATTTTTCAAAAGGGATTATTCCTGGCCTGTAACTCTACATAAAACCTGGATGTCTCTTGTTTATTATTGTTTTCCAGTTGAGCGGGTAACTAATGCAGAACACCTCACTGTCATGCCTGAGTCACTTTAGCTTAGTGTTGAAAAGGTGGCATTGGGAGTCTTTTTACATTTAATGCTCTACACACAGCCAGAGCTTTCTACAGTTTTTCCCTGGGGCTCACTGCTGCAGACTGAGACCACAAAATTAGGGTTGAGGCCTCTTAGCAGAGGAAAATGGGTGTCTGTTGGACTGGACTTGAGAAAGGCAGTTATTGGCAATACCTTTTTTTTCCCTGTTAATAAATGTACTGGGAGGAAAAAATGTAAGTTGTGATTCCAGATGGTAAATTCCTTGGCAGTTTTTTGATTTTTTTTTTTTATATATTTCCCCCACCCCCATGGTTTTTCCCCTCTGGAACATCTTCCTAGTTCTAAAAAAGATCATGTTGGGGAGCTGTCAGTATCTTATAAAAGGATCTTCTGAACGTAGAAACTCTTTACATTGCATATGGAACTGTTGATACTGTTAATTACCAACATGATGTTAAATTGTGTAAAGTGTAAACTTAGAACATCAGTAAGTTCCGATCTTCGCCTTAAGCTTACAAGAAACTCTACTAAGATATTTTTGATTCCCCAGTGAAGGTGGTGTTTTCAAGGCTCATCTTACTTTTCCAAAAGACTACCCACTGAGGCCGCCAAAAATGAAATTCATCACAGAAATCTGGCATCCGAATGGTAAGAAATGTCAAAGTTTCAATTTCTTTTCATAGTTCAGAACTAAAATGCAGAAAGTGAAGACAAATAGATACATTTCTGTTCATGTTAGAAATATGAAACCCTGCTTTTACTTTGCCATCCTCACTTAATAGAGAAGTAATAACAATGGCAGAGTTTTTATTAGTGCTACTCTGACAGCATAAAATACTCTTTAAGTATTTTCAGAAGCTATTCTGAGTAGGTTCTTGCATTCTTGGTAATTGTTCAGGGATCTTTTTCTTAATTTTTTTTCCGAAGTGCAAAACTCTAGTCTGAGGAAAAACTTGACTTCTATAGCTGCCTTTTGTTATACCTTCAATTATTTCATCTTCCTGTTACTGACTTGGCAGTTCAATGTAGAAAGCCCAAGGTTGTCCTCATCTAGTGAAGCATGAAAAGAAATCTCTTAGTCTCTCTAAAGGAGACTTCTCCTAATGTCTCATTTACTTATGGACTGATGGAGACTGGATGGGAAGGTAAAATAAAACAGAAGATGGTTTTACTGGAAAAGAGAAATGTTCTTCAACTTCAGAAACTGTAGATGTTGAGAGGTGGGAGGAGACAGTGCTCCCATCAAAAGGACAAGGGAGTATTTTAATGCTGTGTCAGTTTTAGCTCTGGAAATACCAGAGTACTTGTCAGGCACTTTCTAATTCCAGCAGTTTAAATCATATTTCAATATGTTCTGGTAATATCCAGCTGATGCTGTTGCTGTGGAAAAAAGTCACTCGAGTTTGCTGAACTTACAGAAAAGGCTGTAGTGGAAGCCTGTCTAAATAAATATTCTTGAGAGTTGCAGCATGATGTCAGACTGAGTCCTTCCTCCCCATGTGCCCTCTCTGTCAGGAGTCCAGGCACATTCAGACTTCCACCAAGCCCTGTTTATTACAGCTTAAGTTCTGCAATAGTTAATTACTTTCCCTCTTTATGAAGTGTCTTCACTAACGTGTTTCAGACTAGCTGGAATAAACAGTTCATGACTGTCCTGAAGAAATGCCAGCATGTTGTTCATGACTGAAATATGCCTTGTTCTATTTTGTAGTTGACAAGAACGGCGATGTCTGCATTTCAATTCTTCATGAGCCTGGAGAAGACAAATATGGCTATGAAAAACCTGAGGAACGCTGGCTTCCCATTCACACAGTGGAAACTATAATGATTAGTGTTATTTCTATGCTGGCAGATCCCAATGGTGATTCTCCTGCTAATGTTGATGCAGCGGTAAGGCTTTCCTTGGTCTGCCAATTGTCTTCAATGTAGAAACCTTGCAATGGAGTTCTGCTTCTGGTTTAGCAAACAGTAACTTTGGGGTCTATCACAGGCTAAGGCTACCATTGTGTTGGGAAAAACAGTGATGTCAGACAAAACTACTAATTAGCCTTGGGAAGTTTCTTTTCACTTCTCTAGAGCAGTCTTCCTGTCCAACGGATTAGAGCAGTGGGTTTGACTGTGTAGGTCTGTGCTGTGAGAAGGTACTCAAAGGCTTTACTGGGCATCTGACCTTCACCTCGCCAGGGAGGGTTGTCCCAGACTAGACTGGAGTGAGGAAAATGATCTGATTTGCAGCCAAAGACCAGGGTGAATCTGCAGGTGTGAGATGCAAGTGTTTGATGCAGCGCGGTGTTCTGGACCATGGCATGTGCTCAGTGTGTGTATAAACACATCTATCGGCTCTCTAGAAGAGCTGTGTTTAGAGCAGAATATAAGAGTGAGGCTGAGAAATGTTTGTAGTGGGGAGAGGAAAAAGTCTCAGTTCTGGTAGGGCACAGGGGGACAGACTTCAGGCCCTGCTCATCTGACATAACACTGACATGCTCCTGAATTGCAGTTCAGCTGTGAGTGTTGCCTTCTCACAAAAGAGAAGTTCTAGCTCTTTTAACTGTGGGGGTGAGGAAGGCGATGGAAATTGTGAGATAGGAGTTTTGTAAAGGAATGTTAACGTGTTCTGTCAGCCAAGCTATATCTTCCCAAAGTGGGTGGGAGTTTAGGAGTTTCCTGGAGCCTTTGATCTGCTGTGTTGTATTGTCAAAGGTGGTTGAGCTCCCTGAAAAATCATTATGGGAACAAACTCATGTGGAACATATTTAATGGGAAGAAAACAGAAAACAAACAAAAAGTTGCAGTGAGCAATTTCCTCATTTAACCTTTTTAAATGTTAGACCTCCCCTTTTTGTGTCATGTGTCTGGTGGAAACAGGCACCCAGGAAATATGGACATTTCCTGCTGAGAGCACTGGGAGGAGCAAGTTATTAATAAAATGCTAATAGTGCAGTTAGAATTCCTCAGTTCACAAACTCATATGTTGAATGTAGCTGGCCTAACCCTGGAGAAAGCACATGCTTTTAGCTATGCTTGGCACTTTCCTGACATCAGACTTTCTGTATTGTGCCCCACTCTGATAACTACCTCAGGAGTAAGTTTTTATTTTTTGGGGGATTTTTTTCCTTAGGAAAGTTAGACACAAAATTAATTTTGCCTTTAGGGTAAAGGTCAAAAATAAAACCAGCATGAAAGAACAAAAAAATCCAGATTTGACTATGAAGGTAGTAGTGAGGCATCACTTTGAATGCTAGAAACTATTTTTGACTGTGGCATTGCATGTTTCAAGGAACTTCTGAAGTGCTGCTGGAGCAGTTGGCTTTTCCTGCTGGACTGTAGCTCTCTTCATACTAGCAAGAAACATACTCAGTGTAATGAAGAATCAGCAGCTCCTGTGTTAACCACAGCAATAAAATTTGGCAGTTACTGTAAGATACTTTTTGTCTGCTGTCAGTAGTTTCTGCTTTTAAGTGAGTGAATAAGGTGTTACAGGCAATTCACAAGATTATAGGAGCAGGGGATATACTTGCCTTCAGGAAAAATGAATTATATATGTTGGAGTACTGTCTCTTGTAGTGGGAGAAAAATAAGGATCAGGAACCTGAATAGATATTTTGAAAAGCAAATAGAACGGTTCATGACCTAAAATTACATTTTTGGAGATTCAGCTGTCAGATTGGAAACTTTGCTTGCTATTCAAATCTGAACAATTCATAGAACTACAAATAGAAAAAGTAGAAACAAAAATGAAGGTTCTAAAGCTCAGAGGGCACAAATTCAAGGCTTTTCTTGGCTTTAAGCCATCTTGTGTAAGCTGTCCTATGTCCCAGTCCAAGGAACCAAATGTTTGCTGCATGAATTGCTGAAAAAGAACAAACTAATTAGTAGCCTTATTTGTGCTTTAATAGGAAAGTTAAGACATGCTGGGCTCTCCAATGTGCTGATTGTTTAAGTGAGCTCGGAGGTGATGAATGTTGGGGTATGCCATTTATCACTCCAATGTACTACAACCTTCAGTCCAAGTGGGGGTGAAAAGGTGTTGTGTGCTAGATTGCATCAGGTGAAACAATAAGGGTGTTTTTAACCCCTTCCCTCACCCCTGCAGTAAGAATATATTGCTTGTATCAGAAACTAAGAACTGTGGAACTTCATGAAATAAGGGGTTCTTTATATTTCCCCCACCACTTCTGACTGGAAGGCAGTACCCAGTACGTCAATCTTAACTACACCTGATGCTCCTGTGCTTTCATCTGAGCTCCTTGTGAGCCTGACACAAAAAAAAAACCCTGGCTGCACTTTCTCATGTAGGTTTTTGTGATACCTTGATGTGTGCATTTCTGGGTTCAGACTTCCCTCTTACCTATCTTCCTGCTCATCTTTATCTTGGCTCTTCATCTCTGCAGTTCTGAAATCAGATCCCTGTCACAGGGAGCAGCCCTGTAGGTGAGCTGAGTATTCTCCTAAGGTCTTTCTCACAGAGCCAATATCTTACAGCCATATCTAAGCAGGAGGTGTTTGCTTTCCAAGGACACTGCTGTGCCTCTTCTAGATACTGTGACTTCTGTATTTCTGTCCTGGAGTGTCGTGGCTAGATTGAAGGAACTGTCTTAACAAAAATCTCAGACTAACTACTGGCTCCACAGTACCTGTGTACCTTTTTCACCACTGCAGTTAAAGATACTATCTCTAACGCATAACAGCTTGTGGTCTACAGGTTGAGTTTGCTGCTACTTTGCAGGCTGAAGCAAGTAGATTTTAGCACAGACAGTGTGAAATACTGGTAAGCCACTAGGTTAGTCTTGAGCGTGCCTAAAATCCAAGGGGAAAATTACATCCTCACTGTCTTGTAAGCAGCTGGCACAGAAACCCAGAGCAAACTTTCAAAAGTCCTGAATATCACAGGTTTTCAGTGAGGAGCTCAATGATTATAAGCAAATTTAGGTGTTGACTAGATGGCTAATGTCTGAAAACATAAACAAGAGTCTTCCTAGAGCTTGTACAACTCCTTGTTGTAGGACTGACATCTGAAAGCTGTCTATTCAATTACAGAAAGAATGGAGAGAAGACAGAAATGGAGAATTTAAAAGAAAAGTTGCCCGCTGTGTAAGAAAAAGCCAAGAAACTGCTTTTGAGTGACACTTATTCAGCAGCTAGTAGCTTCACTTTTTTCAGGGTAAGTATCCTTCTCAAGACAAGACAGTTACCTGAGTTGAGGATTTCCTGCTTAAGTGTTGCTGAACTATTTTTCTCCCCCTCAAAAGCAAAAAGAAACCCCCAAACCTCTCTTCTCAGCTGCATGTTCTCAGTGGAACTCTTTGCCTGTATGCAGTACTAAAGACTAAAAGAACTTAAGTGCACTTGACAGCCTGTTCTGCCAAAATTGGGGAACTTCTCTTGTATTCTTGTGTTTTCTGCTGTTCAGAAGTTGAACTTCTCTTTATCAGAATTCATCCTGCTTTATTAATGGCACTTAGAGGTTACTGGAGCTGTAATAGAAGGGGGTGACAATTCCTTGATATTCATTATTGTGAAGAGCACTTATTAGGATCTTAAAAGCATCTTGAAAGTCTTACTATCTCAGAAGTTTTGGATTATCTTGCAGATGTTGGTGGCATGTTGCACATAGGAGTTAAGTGAGACTTCAGTGAGGTTGTCAGGAGCCACTGAGAAGGGTTTGTTTCAGGTATCTATGGGTGTTTTAAGAGAAAGTCTCCTGGCATAGCAGAAAGCATCAAATTGAGATATTACTAGTCAGTAATATCAAGAAAGGTGGTGTTCTCTTCAGCAGCCCAAAAAACATCTTTAGTGAGGAATGCTTGGGAATAACTTCATAAAAACAGCTGTGTTCTGCTTGGAAACTGAACTGTGGCATATCTGAGAGCTTGGACAAGTTTTGACCTGAGAGTAGCTGACGTGACATTTGCATTTTTTTGCCACCCTGTTAAAGAGCTTCTGACTCAAGATACTCTAATTTACACAATCCCATCTCGGTTTTAATGGGACTTTTTTTTTTTAATAACCTCTCATAGAAAGCTCTGTATTAAGGCATGGCCCTTAAATCCCTGGCCTTTGGTCACTTTATCTTGGGTATGCCAAGGAAAAACTTCCTCCATGAGCTAATAATTTCCCACTCTTTCTTTTCAAAGCAAAACAGAACTTCATGTTGAAGCTGCCTTTTCTTAATGGCTGTTTGGCAAATAAACTGCTCTGACCCATTTGGCTGGCAAACCCCAAATCCATATTTACTGGTTACCTATAACATACATAATTCACAGGGACAGAAATATGGCACTGTATGTAGTTCAGACTGAACCAGAGCAGCTTACTACATTCTTCAGCTGGGTAGGTTTTTTTCATCACAGTTGTACAGGATAGAGTTCCTTTCTTACCCTTTTGTAAACACGGGGGGTTTGAGGGAATGCTCCATCTGTGACAAATTAGTTCTGCAGTCCCTCTTTGCAAAAATGCTTGGATTGAAAGGAACTCTGTCCAGTATGGATTAAGCATGAAAAATGCTTAATATTGATCAAAAGACTAAGCAAAGGAACAGAAAGTCTTGTACAACTGCCTGTAACTGGAGTTCAAGAATTGTTAATGCTGCTGACTTTTTTTTTCTCTGTCTTGGAGAAAGGGAATAACTGTGAGTAACACTCCAGAGTATCCTTAACTAACCTCAGCTCTGTTGCCATGTTCAACTTAGCTATAGTGAAACAATGCTCTTGACAAATATTTTAAGTAATTGGCTGTGTTGCTTTTCTGGAAGACAAAGGCTTTTCTAAGTCTGGTGACTCCTCCCAAGCGAGTGATGGGCAGGGAATTTGATGAGAAGGGGCCACAGCTGGTTTCAAACCAGCCCAGCGTGAAAGGGGGCTGTGGTGTTAGTGCTTGCAGAGCACTGCTGTGCCATTTGTACCCACCTTTCCCAGTAAGTGATACACAGCCTTTTCAGTGATAAATCTGCCATGTTTAGCCCTCTGTGTGAATAATTAAAGCTTTACACGCTGCGCACTCGACAAGCAACACGAGTTACAGGAGCCAGAAAGTCTGATAATTGAGCTTGGATACAAAGTGTGCTGAACTAACTCCAGTCTTTCTCAGGTGATGAGTTTGGATTTATCCATCTTCTGTTCAGAGGTACGTGAAGCTCTTGAACAAGTAATAGTTATCTTCTTGAGCTTGAAAAACTAATTAACATCTTGAAAATAATTGAGGGTGAGGAGGGGTTTTATTTTAATACCTGTGATTTCTTTGCAGGTCTCCAATTGAGAAACATGGCACTGTTTTTTTTCCTGCACTCTACCCACCTATTGCTGGACTTCTGTTGTTACAAGTTGGCAAACACTGGCTGGAACTGGGCTGCAATAAAACATGCCAGTTATCAATGCTGACAAGAGCCTAACAAGTGCCAACACAAGATGATTACGCATTTTGAAATCTAATGAACTGCTTTAACCTTCAGGAAGAATTGTAAAGATGTGTACATAGCACAACATGATCCGGATAATATATATACTGTTCATGTACATCCACAAATACACATTGTACCAAATAATGCTGTCTGTAGTTAGGGATAGAATTGTGTAAATTCTAAAGATTTTAGCAGGTTTTTTCTCTCCCTATTCATTGTTTCCTGAGTTAAAAAAAACAGCAACTTGTGAAGCATGTCAAAACAAATTAGGATACTAAGTTGGTTTTTTTGGTTTTGGTTTTTTGTTCCTCCCACTTTAATTTTCCTTTGACCCACCGAGGCTTAATTAAAATTTCTTGCTTATTAAAGTTTAGTATCTCTTTTTTTTTTTTTTTTTTTTTTTTGGGTTTTTGGAAATGTGGTCCCCTTTTATTTCCTCCATCAGAACTTAACAATTTTCCTAATTAAACCCTGAAAGGATTTGCTATCAGTTACTTGTGTCTTCTTTTATGATGACCTTTGTAATCTCAAAGGTGCTTTTTTTCTTCCCACCCGTTTTTTAAACTCAATTACTCATCCTTCTTGAATTTGGTATAGCAATAAAACTGGCCATGGAGCACCCTTGAGCAGCCTGATGGATTTTTAACTTCCAAGGACTTGAATGCTTTCACTTGGAAGTTTGGTTGACTAAGTTAGACCAAGATAGGAATGAGCTGCTTTTTATGGGTGAAATTTTTGGTTTGCCTTTTTCATTGCCTGTTTGTGGGGTGGGGTGTGTGGGGGGGAGGCTTGTTTTTTCTCAAGGTTGAGTTCAAGCATGCACATCTGTAGGCTTTCAAATGACTAACTTCTGGGTTTGGTATCAAAAATAGTTTCCCTCCTTTTACTCTTTTCTGTGGCCCTTCATCTGCTTTGCCTTCTATCTACTTCAGAGTTTTCCTCACCTAATGTACAAAGAAAATGGCGATGTATATTTTCATGTAATTTGATTTTTGGAATTCTGTCACCTTCTGTAGTGAGTTCTTCCAAAATATAATTTTTTCCAATAATGATGTGTCAAACTGGCTGTCTTGAGTATCACAATAGGAAGGGTACAGTTGTAGCTGGAGCACAACTTACCTGAACATCATCAACAACACTAGCAAACACTTGAGCAATTGGACATGCTGTGCTTCATCTTGAATAATGAAAGAGCAAACAAAACGCATATCTTTATCCCTGTTGTAACCATCTTTGGCCCTCTAGTGAGCAAATACTAATCTTAGAGTATCTGCTCGCAGTCAAGCCTTCGACTAAAGAAACTATAGAAGACCTTGAAACTACTCAACTCTTTTCTTTCCACAGCATAGCATAAACCACTAATAAATCAAGAGTTCCAGTGTCAGAGTCAGCTTTTAAGAAGCCTTCAGTCTTAATTTGCTGGCTGGACTTCATTTTATGTTGCTGTGCAACATGCATATAGTGAAAGGCACATATTGCAGGTGTTGTGAGGGGGGCTGGGGTGGAAGGAGGTGACAGTTGTTAGAGGCAAGGCAGCCCTTGGGGACAAAAAGGCATTTAGTGTAAGAAGACGTACAGGGAAAGGTTCTACTTCTTCCTATGGGTGCTTTAGATAAACAGGTATGTTTGATATCTGTATTTACGTATTTGGGAATGATTTTATTTGTGAAATCATTAGTTAAATTTGCTTTAAGTGGCTAGCTGCTACTGCAGCCAGGCAGGTGCAGTACTTAATGCCCCAGACACCAGAGCTGATTTGAGTTCCTGTTGGAGCACTTGTCTGAAAGGTCTTCAGAGCAGGTTTCTTTCCCACCAGCTGACTACCCTTTTCCACTTAAAGTTGGGACTCTGCAGAACTTCAGCGGCATGGTGTCATTCTTTCCACGAAAAAAAAAGACTGGAAAGAAAGCTGATCTTATTAAACCTACTAATGGACTTGCTCCCCTGCAGGCTGACCTTCCTTTTCAATTTCCACAGTGTGTCTAGTACTGAGGCATCCAGGTATTTGCTGCTTTCATCAAGGTCTCTGTTTTGTTTTTCAAAGTACCACACACAGTTCACCACAGACTCATCTGTAAATCCACAAAATGGTTCAAAACTTTATGTCTGTGCTCTCCAGAACTGCTGCTTGTTTGTTCTTTAGGTGGTAGGCCTGGAAATGTTTGTCTTGCTTCAATTGTATGGAAGAACTGTGAATTCCACAGCACTGCTCATTCCCCTCTTTGTAAATTCAAACATGTATTTGGCTTACCCAGATGGTTTGTGATCCCACCTGACCCAGATTCTCCCCAGGGAGGATCATTACTGTGGGATGCTGCTAAGATCTACAAGCTGCAGGTATGGCTAATGCCCAGTGACTGAGTGAAAGAGGCAGCTCAGGGTCTGGTGCCAAGTGTCCAGGTCGTAGGAAGCCTCTGGCAGGCAAAGAAATGGCCTATTTCACTCTTCTGTGATCACAGTTGGCTCTTTGTTCCTGCCCCACACTCAAAGGGGCGCTGGTGGAAAGCTGTTAGTGATAAAACCAGATGGGAACAGCACTGAGGAGCTGCAGGATTGACATGTAGTATGAGGATTCTTGGTGAACAAGGAAGTGAAGCAGCATTCCTCAGTTTTTCTTGTAGCAAGACTTTATATCTGGTCGGTTCCTGCAGGCTGCTCAGTTATCACCATAGGTTCTCCAGGGGTTTGTTATCCTGGCTGGAGGTTTGAGCTGAGTTTTGCCCCAACACAGGGCATTTGCCCTGCATTCCAAATATCACTGGGGAAAAAATGAAAGCATCAAATACTAATGAATGTCTTAACTAGTGTGGCCATCTTAATTCCTTTTTTCTATTTCTCCGTGCTGCACCTGAGAAAACTCAGGACTGTCAACTATCACTCTAAAATTCCTTCTGCACCAATGCCTAAAAACACTTACTGGAGCTCAATGATCAATAAGCAGAGCACATGAAATCTGAACTGATTAGAAATGTATTTTGGGCTTTGGAAGGCCAATGTGGGGTGGACTCCACTGTGTCTGTACCATCTGGTGCACTGCTCTTGGTGCAGTGCCATCACTGCACACAGAGCAGCAACGTGAGTCCCTTCAGAAGCAGCATGAGCAAATCAGAAGCTGTTTGGGGTTTAGAAACACTGTCATACTACAGCTTCCTTCCCAGGCAAATCCCCAGAGGAGATTACAATTCCCATGATGCAAAATACAGCAGTGGTTTGAAATCTGATCTCTGTTATTACTGTGAAATTAAACTAAATCTGATCAGGGAGCAATAACTTGCTTCCTCACAGTTCCTCGAGAGGATCAATAGTAACACCATGAGCAGTGGGGTAATTTGCTATACACAGCTGTCATCAAGCTGTGCAAAATGAGACAAGTTGTTTCATGGTATGCCTAGAAAACAGTCTGTGGCCCTCCTGGGCTCAGCTCTGGATTTGCTGTTTTATGCAACACCAAAATAAATATGATGTAGAGCAACTTTTCAAAGGTCACTTCGTGCTGGAGTCCAGAAAAAATTACACCTGTAAAACAATACCGTGCATGAAGTCTTCAAACATTTAACTGAAAGATGCTCCTCAAAGCAAGCAACAAATTTGCTGCTGGATCAGCATCGAGTATTTGGCATTTCAGTTGCATCTGAGCAGGAGCGATGACGAACAACAACAGCCGAGCTATGTTGTACACGTGGCTGGGAAAATGATCCTGTTATTGGTACTTGGTCACTGCCTGTCTGCTTGCAACCATTCACCCACCGGGCACCAATCCAGTGTGCAGGGCACACGCATTCAGTGCCCAGGACTGCTCGGAAGGAAAAGCAGGAGCTGAAGTGGGGAGGAGCCCCCATGCCCCGCTCGCTGTGCGGGCACTGGCCGGGCAGAAGGCGCTGCCCGGGCTCGGGACGGCGCTCCCGGGGCAGCTGAGCCCCGCAGCGAGGCACGGCTGCGTTTCTCCCGGTGCTGGCCGGTTTTTTCCAGCGTTCTCCAGCCGTGCCAGCGCAGCGCTCCGGCCGGGATCACCGGCGCTTCCTCCCCTTGGGGAGCGCGTCCCGGGGCGGCTCCGCCCGGCCCCGCACCGCCTCCCGCCGCGGCCGCGCTGCCGTGCCCGAACCGGCTGCCGGTGCCGGCCCACGGGCGGGGAGGAGAGCGGGATAACGCGGGAGAAGGCGGGATAACTCGGGAGAAAGGCGGGATAGCTCTGGAGAAAGGCGGGATAACGCGGAGAAAGGCGGGATAACTCTGGAGAAAGGCGGGATAACTCGGGAGAAAGGCGGGATAACTCTGGAGAAAGGCGGGATAACGCGGAGAAGGCGGGATAACTCTGGAGAAAGGCGGGATAACGCGGAGCGAGCGGCTCCGCCCCAGCGGCGCGGCCAGTGGCGGGGCTGTTGCGCTGCTCTCGCGAGACCGCCGTGCTCTGGTGCTGCGGCGGGCGGCGGCTCTCGCGAGAGCGGCGGCGCCGGAGCCAACATGGCGGAAGGTGAGGGGGGGAGCCCCGGTGAGGGGCCGGGCGGGGCCGGGGACCGCGGGGCTGCCGGGGGCTCCCGCCGCTCCCGGGGCACCGCAGTGTGAGGCTCCCGCCGCTCTGCCGTGCGGGACGCGCTCGGCCCCGCCCGCGGCGAGTGGGGCGGGGTGAGCGGGAGATGGCGGGGGCCGCGGGCGGACACCCCCGGGCGGGGCCGGTCCGGCGCGGGCGGCTTCGCCCCTCAGGAGGGCGCTCGGGGTGGCCGCGGGCGGTGGGAGCCGGCCAGGGCGTCCCTCCGACCCCATCCCGCAGGCGGGGGGTGAGGCGGGGCCGCAGGGAGCTCCTGCCCCGCTCGTGGGGCTCATCCCGGCGCCGTCCGGGCTCTGATCCCGCCGTGCCCTGCCCGGGGCTCTCCCCCAGCAATTGATCCTGTAAGATCAATTACTGCCTGTGCTGCTGCAGCCGCACGGTCACTTGTGCCGGACTCCTTTTGTCAGGCTCAGGTGAGGTTTGCAGAGCTCCTGGAGTGCTGCTGTTTTGCTTGAAGACTGGCAATCGCACCATTCAAATTAATTTAAGCTAAGGGGATTTGGGAAAAAAAAAAAAGGCTTGGATTTTTTACAGTTCTACTCGTTTCTGCAAGACAAGCTTCCTCTTTTTCTTGGAGGAAACGGAGTGTGCAAACGGAGCTAAAATGCTCCAAGTTACAAAGGAAATGAAGTTAGAGTCGTGAAAGCAGAGCCTTCAACTCTTGAAGTGCAGCTCTTGGACAGTGCTGAAGTTTTAGAACACTTGCAGAATATTAAGATGGAGCAGATGCTGCTGGACTGGCATGCATCAGCTGAGAGGATGCTGTAGTCAAGCTGGTTTGATAAGTCCTTAGAGGAATGCCTAACTTCTTGTGCACTGAAATACCACTGCTTCGTTTTTAGCTGACCAGCCTTTTGTGCTTGATTTAAGCCTTGGTGACCCAGTTCTGGAGGGCTTTAGATGTCCAAGTTGGCTTCAGGTAGTGAAACTTTCCCCAAAGAGATCCTCAAGGATGTGAGGCTCTGGCTCAGGGTCCTCCTTTGCAGAATTAACCTGCAGCTGATACAATCAATCCCTGTTTCAGACAATCTGTACTTCTCAGAGATTCTTCCCTGCCTTAAGTAATTCTCTGATCTTTTGGCTGAAAAAAGCACATGACCAATGAATGACCCTGTGTGAACTGGAATAACAAGCTGGAGTTGTCACCCATTTCATTCCTTAGGTTGTGTTGGAAGAAGAGCTCGTGTTGTCCCTGCAAATGAGGTACCTACCTGCAGCCACACTTCTAGTTAAGAGCTACAGTTGAGTCAGCTGAAAAGTGAAAGCCTGTTAAGGAAGGGAGCTTGTCAAATTGTGGTTATTAGCTCAGCCAAGTGCTTTTTCTCATAAGGAAGTGTTGCCTCTCTCCAGAAAAATCCTGCATCAGATTTATTGCAATTGCTACCTGCAGATTGAACATTCTATACTGCTAATACCAGAGGTTTACATGCAGCCATGGCTAAGAATTGTTGGATTAATGCTTGAGTGTAAAGAAGCAATAGCTGTAGAACTTTGGGGAGGCAA